ACCGGATACCCATACATGTATACATTTCACTTACTGTATCACTTACCTTCCTCAGCTAATGCTTGTAACCTCTCTTTAGAAAGTGTCCATGTTTCATGAATTTTATTAGAAATCTTAACTGCTTCCCTCAGCTTTGTTTCATCCATTTTTAGTGTTGGCTCAGCTCTTTCCCTCACAACAACAGTTCCATTATCATTACTGTTCAAAATATTATCTGTACTTGCAGGTTTGGTTGATTTCAGATCTTTAGTCCTTTTCTTTCTCATCTCCAGCTTTTGGCTCTCTTTAGCTGATTCTTTCCCAGATTGTGATGACTTCTTGGAAACATGGGTGCTTGACTGGGGGGAACCTCTAGGAGATGTTTCAAAACTAAATGTATTTGTTGTTGGAATCAAATTGATTGATTCCAAAGAATTTGAAGCATGTAAATTTTCTATTCCTCCATCACAGGAAAAAATACTTTCCTGCAGCTCATCACGTGTTTCTCTGTCTTTACGATTTTGAGATTTTGATTTTTTTGCACTGTGTTTACCTTTTTTGACAGTCACTTCCGAAAATTTAGTCAGACATTCCCTTTTCCTTTTCCTGTTTTTCTCTTTATCATTTGACACGATTGGTGGATCAATTCTTGACTCATTAAACTGCGTTGAGAAACGTTCTCGACCACTTGAGTTCCCTGCATCAAAGTCACTTTCCACACGTTTTTTCTTCTTTTTCTTCTTCTTCTTCTTCTTCTTTTTCTCTCTTTTCCTGACTTCATTCGCATCCACATCATCATGTCTAGTCACTGCTTCTATTACTGTCCAATCCTCCTTTGATTTCTTCCTCTTCTTCTCTTTCTTTATCTCGCTGTCTCTTTTCGCTACATGAGTATCAGAGCTTTCCTGTTGCTCAGATTTCTTTCGCTTTCTGTTATTTACCGAAGTTTGGCCATTGACAACTTGCTCATAATGAGGCTCTTCGACCTCGCCCACGGCTTCATGCTTGTCATCGCTTTTCTCTAACTCCTTCAGCGCCTTCTGATAGTAACGGAGCATCCTTTTCAGAAGCTACATGTGCACAGACTTGACGGGAAAGTTTACGATCACAAAGCATCAACAGTCGCCATCTTGAAAATCCAGAGACGCCAAAGAATGATGGGATATCATATTGGAGCCCAGACTCTTTCGGTTTTTTCGGTATTACGTAGCGCGCGTCGTTCCCAGGGTTTCTCATCATACCGACCCTGGGCACGAGGTTGTCGAATCAGGAGATTTTACATGTAACATCCTAAGCAAGCTAACCATCAGGTTTCGATTTTGGCTCAACAATTTCTCAATGAGAATAGGCTGTGAGCATTTCCTTAATTTATTCCAGGCTGGCAAATGTCCTTATCTAACGAAGAGTCCGCAGTGAGATAGCAAGTCTTGAAAATTGTTTGACCCCAGCGGGATTCGAACACTCGACCTCCAGATTAGATCAACATTTCTCTGCCGACTGAGCTACAAGGCTAGGCAGGAGTAATGGTAATTGCGGTAGTAGATCCCGAGAAATTCGGAGCAAGGTGGATATCAAGGTATAACGTTGCTCCACGCAGCACTTATGGTTCGGACCTGTCAAGACAACTGGAATCAGAACCCAATGTGTCAATGTTACAGCGTGGTAATGCAGAAAATTAGAACACAAAATGAGAACAGGAGAAAGTGCCGATAGAACTGCGTCTTAGCGGGTCAGTAGCGTGACAAATTATCAGACAATTCTTGTTTGCCATTACTTCAACCAATAGTCGCCGACCTCAAAGGAGTTGATAGATCAAGCTAGAAACCAAATGAAGGCTCGTAAAGTTTGCTCTCTAGTTTCTAGTTCGGTGTTGGTAATTGAGCTTTTGACGAAACGAAAAAGGGTTCTGTTGGGATGGGGTGGGGTAGTTGAGGTAGTTCAATAACTTGTCAATGTTCAGTTCCTCAGCACCTTTTTCCTCATTCAACAGGAGTGTAAAAGGCGAGGGAGAATTACCTCGCTGGAAGTTAAAACTACGAAAATCGAAAACTCGTCATTAAAATTTGTGTTTGTATTCTATTCTCTGCAATTAATTACAGGAGCAAAGTTCAATAGTTTTTCTTCTATGCAGTAAATTTTACACATAACGGCTAATAATAATTGCTACTATACTCGTAAGCTATTTGTGAATTGTTTAAGACATTTATTGTTCAATAAAAGTTCGCCAAGCGCGAATCAGAGAATCCAGCTAGCACCACAAATGTCATCTAAAACTTATCGAGAATTGTCTTTATCTTGAGATCTTTTATATATATATGAACGGTTAAACGTCGTCTGTGTTATAAATTCGATCCTTGTCCTTTGAACGACTACTGACGAGGGTCGTACATTTTATACCTTTTTGCCGATATTTCATATATTATTTAATATACCGTTCGATAAACGTCTTAAAGTCTCGGAAATCTTTACGGCGAGACTAAGTTGTAGTGCAAGTACTTCTTCGATCTGCCAATGCCGAAAGACTGTAGTACCGGCGAAGAATGAGAAAATTGAAAGTTCTATAGCGTCGAAGTACTTCAGAAAAACGCAGAAAGTTCTTCCTTCCACTCTGACCGTTCTGAATTACTCAGCTGGTTTTTTCCATGGGATCTTGTTGGTGTGGAGCTTCTTCGTAATTTGGCCTGACGAGTGAGTGCGCCTGGGTTACCGAGTCGAACGTGAGAGAGTGATTCCAACAACCGTGCATTTGCGTTTCGCAGAGTGTCGATTTCTAGCTTCTGTGAGTGTAACTTCTTTTCCATTTTGAGTTTCTCATCTTTTTCAAGCGAGGTTTTCGCTGATTCAACCTTCTTTCTAAGCGACTCGATCAGGCTGTTCTTTGTCGTTATTTCGTTGCATAACGACTCGATCGTCGCGTCCCTCGCCTCAAGAAGCCTCTTTATCTC